AAAAAAAAAAAAAAAAAAAAAAAAAATAAAAAAAAAAAAAAAAAAAAACCAAAAATAATCGGGCAGTTTTGGAAGTGCTGAAAAAAAAAATAATCAATCGGGTGGTTTTGGAAGTACGGAAATAAAATAAGCTAAATTTTTCATTTAAATGGGTGAATTTCGCCAAGTGCTTTCATTCAGTTACCGCACGTGAATTTTTTTTTAATAATATTCGCGCAATCTTAAAAATAAGCGGATCCAGCGCGGACTCCCGAGGACGGGTGAAGGGAGGAGTGAGATGAGGCGTCTGGAGGAGACGGTTGAGGAGGGACGGAGGGGCGTGGGGAACGGGAGAGGGGGCGACGCGGAGTGGAGAAGACAGTTTACTTTAGTTTTAGCTTCAGACCCGAACTTTTGCACCATTGATGTCTGTGCCAAAAGATCCAAAACCTCTTCCATCCCCTCTGGATCCGCCTATGATCTTTAACGGTCAACGAGAAAACATTCAGTGAAGTAGAAGAATTCACTTGAATGACCATATGAAATCGCCGATGTGATAGACTACATGCACCGATAGCGAAATGCACAACGATGAAACAAAAGCTGATCAAAATTTTTTATTTATATCAGTTTTTCATATTACGTGGAATTTTTTTTTTGACTTTGTATTAAAATGCTGTTCTGAAATCCTTCATTTTCACGGCGACAACTGGCAGCAGCCAGTTTTCACGCGGGTTTTAATTTCACTAAAACAAGAGGCAGTATGGGCCACAAAGGCCCTGTGAGGGAATGGAGGAGAATAGTAACAAGGGGCCGGAACAGCGGCCCAATCAGTCAAGGGTATCGAATGGCAGGGATCACTAAAGTAAAAAACTTACTTGATCATCGACTGCGAGTGTTTGGAAATGCCGCGTTTTTCCGGGAGTACTCGATACTGATACTTTTTTTTGATTCAATATCCTGTTGATAGTTGAGCTTTTGCCAACATTTGGATAACCAACCATCCCGACAACAACGGGACGCTGCGGCCCCACCGCACCAC